AAAATTTTAGTGCTAGCAATAAATACAAGCCAATTCATCAAAGTTGGGATCACGAAGAGAAATATCTTTTACGAACTGTCGTAAAAATTAAGATTCGCCATAACCACGTATTTCAGAAAATTCAACAATGAAAGCAAAAATAATCGAAGTAGAGTTTTGTGCAAGAGAAGAGAACCTGTTTGCATGGGAATCATAGGAAAGATGTGTGAACGCGCGGACACGAGCCAGTTATTTCTTCATTTCTATGGTAATCCCCTAATTTTAGCTTTTGTAGGCGCTTCACAAAAGGACAAGTCGGCATAATTCTCAGGAAATTACAAAGTCACTCCGGATTTCCGCAAACYTCTCGGATACCAAGAGATGCGCGGAATTCCGTCAAAACAAGAAGTTGAGGCCAATTTTCGATTTTTCTTTGTCTTTATCGTCATTTCAACTTAATAACAACATAGTGGGTGTAATTTTTTGTAATTGTTGACGTGAGGATAAAAAACTAACAATTTATCTTAAAAATCGATGTCCATGCATCGGCACGAACATCAACAATAGGAATGGCATCATTACCATAATGATGTATAGTATGCATAAAGGCTAGTACATGGACAATACATTTTTGGCGTGCAGAATGTTTGGAGTGAGGCACAGAAGTTTGTTATTAGCTGGTCAGGTTCTGTGGGTGGTACCTGGTAGTGGGGCTTCAGGACACCTCCTTCAAGAGGCTCGGTTTGACCATTTCAATTAGAATTTGCATATTTTTCTATTTATCTTTAACGTATGACAATAAATTATTTTTTTTTTATCTTTAACATTTGCGTGGAGAGCACTAACACCAAATACCTCTAACTTATCTATGATGTAGTATACCACAATAAAATGTTAATATGCTTGATAGTCCGGACAATATTTTACATTACTTGTCATCTTATTGCACTCCCATGTTTCTTTTTTAATAACTTAAGATTTCTTAATCGAATCAGTTTTCAATCGAAGTTTGAAATATGAACCTGGCAGCCCTCTGGTGATGAAGACAGGAAAGTGAGATTGAGTCGTCCTCTGGCGCTTTCGAATAGAACTTCAGGAAGCGTTGGTGTAATACAGAGGAAGGAAGAGACTAGCGATATCTAGTATGAGTTTTGTAGCTTAGATGGCGGTCTTGTATCTTCTATTTATAAATAATCTTGATTCAAATTTAAWCGCATTTTTTTTATAATGTCGACGTCCAGTTCCATCAAAGCTCAATTAAATACGTTGTTGGTACGAATTAAAATTTCATGCATTATGCATTTAGAGGACTTTCCTTTATTCTAAACCAATAAGTATTTTTGGTGATTTAGACGAAATATTCATTTGGAGTCGTCGACTTTAGGGAGTCTCTCGAAAAAAAGACCGCATTGATGGATTCATTTTGCTAATTTGCTTATTTTGCGACTATTTGTTTTTGGTGTTAAACCAGTGATAAATTGTCTTGCCTAGAAAACAATATTTACATTTTCATAGCTTACAGCCTGAGTTTGACATGATAAATTTGTTTTTGTGATAATTAAAAACATTGAAGTAATGGAAACTTTTATAAGAATTTAGCATTTTTTTTAATTTAACAAATTTTTATCTTGGTTGAATCATCATAGACACAGAATAGGATCCATAATAAATTTCAAGCGTTCTAAATATTTGGTTAGCTGTTAACACTTAACAGCATACCTGCAGAAGTTAAGAAATTTGTTTATGRTTAAAACAAGGAACTTGTACTATGTTTAGCTCCAGGAATAATAGAATTTTTAATGGAGTCGATGCATTACTTAAAAATCACGATTTTAGCTTACGTACGAGCCATGTTAASTTATTTATTTTTAGATCCACTTCTGGCATGAAATAGACTTGGCTACCCAATGCTCCCTTTTAATACAGTCAAACCCGCCTGTGATTCTACACATTCTTAAAACAACAAAAAGGCAAAACTTGCTGTGATTTTAAACCTTTATTAGTGATTTAGTGTTAGTTCTGTGATATTTTTATGTAAAATGATGTCCAGACACGGAAAAAAGCATAATCGGCGTCACCATTACATACCGTTTGGTCACAATCGCCGGGTAAATATTTCATTTTAATAAAATCGTCTATTTAATCTTGTAGAGAATGAGGTGTGGGTCGACTAAACGTCGTTAGTTTGTCTAAGATCTAACCTAAACTACATTTCCTCAGCTCCTTCCTAAATATTTATACAAAATAGAACTAAAATAGAGCAAAAATTGTTCTGGAGCACGTGATCGGCGCAAAGTGCATGTTCACACCTGTTTTTGCTCACGACTTGTATACAAATCCGGATTTAGTTTTTATTTTTGGTTTCATAGCCGCTATCAATGAGATTAATAAAAGGCGCGTGATCGATATCGAAATAGTTCTCTTTCATTCATCGTGCAAGCTGCGTCCCGAAAAATTCCTGCTGTCAGTTAGAACGACAAACAAAAACCAGCAGGAACGTAAAGTCAAATACGACACACCCCCAGTGTCAGTTGTTTAAATCGATACTTGCGCATGCGTTTCGGTTTGCAACCCCACCTCGTGAAGCGTGTACAGTCAAAAGCTCAAAGCTCTACCCTATATGAAACGTTGAGCTTAAAATGCGGCATCGACTATACTCAACCTAGCGGCGTTCACCCGCATTACACTACGTATATTCTTGAGCAAAACATTACTTTTCCATTCAGAAAAGTTGTTCGTGTCATAAATATAGTTAATGTGTCGTTCGCCGGTGATTTGTGAGATTTAGTTTCGTGGAGATATGTTGGTTCAGTGATAGGGAGCCTTCTTTAATCGGGTACTCGGACATCAGGAGTATTGCTAATTTATGAATTACCAATATCGTCGATTAATTGCCTAATATAAGTCGCCTTCAGGTTACGTTTTTGCGATTTTCGGGACGTTCGAACGGCGAAAATTGCGTTAAAATTTCTACCTTTATTGGATGGTGCACACGGATGTATCATTGAAATGTCGCAATATGATAGGATACAACAATTTCAACAATCAGGGATACAATAAACTGTTTACTCAGGTAAGCACCTGCTGGTTCTTTGACGCGACAACCATTCTTATTTCTACGAATATCTGCATAATTACTACCGATAGTGGTTAATTCTTCAGATTCCRCAGCGATAATGGAAATAATCGCTTTAAATTCTGTACGCACGATATACATTACGTCATTGTGACGTCACGATGGTTAACCATTGGTTTTTGTTGGTAAACATTGCAATGTGTACCGATTCGATTATCCTAATTGCCATTACAGGCCCTCAAGAAACGTAAAAATAGTTTCGCGCATTTATAAAACTTAAATCCTGATCTGGCCAGCAGGAACGTTCCTGCTGGAAATAGCGTGTCACTTTCGTTCCCTTTTCAGATAAAATTCTATTCTTGCAAAATTTATCGAGCCGCACAAAGGTTATCAGATTTCTTGCTTGATGGCTCTAAAAAAGTTTAAAATTCCCTTCGTGGACATTATGTGGGTAATTTTTGAATTTGGTGCAAACCAGTTGTTACCGGAAATAGGTAACGTGATTTCCCTGGAGGATATAATGCTGAAATATGACCAGTCCTTTTTTGTATGCTTTATAATTATTGTCAATAATTTTAACCAGAACGCATACTTATCGATTAAAATTTTTCCGGTCGACGACAGTGTGTAGGAAAAATATGTAAACGTTTTATTAAGCAATAAACTTGCTGTTTTGCTATACATTATACAACTTCACTTTTATTGCCAAAGGTCATTAAGAAATTTCTTTCAATAAAAGTAACTATCAATTTCCTCCACCTACATATGAAAAACTGACAATAACTCGTGATTGTTCAACATTAATCTTTTATAAAACTTATTTACGCSTGCGTACATGGACACTTTCTTGGCGCCACTATTATGAATGTCATATCATAACATTTTATTGTACTTATATGAAACCACATTTGAAAGACTAGTTTCGATGTGTCGCGTCTGAAATGAGTGCGATTTGTTCCCGGATTCTTCCGGTGGGTAATTCCCCCAGATTATTTTTTGGAAAAATCGTAATAATAATTGAAGAAAACTTTGGAAATAACCGGCCACAGTGGGCATCCTGCCAAGCCATGCTGTGACCCGTTTAAATTTCAAAGTTCCGACAATCGCCGTAGAGTAAATACGTATTTACTAAGTTGGAACCCACAAAAATTGCTTCGTGTCGAAAATGTTTATGATTTTAAATTAGTTTTCCGCTACTGTAATTAAGGAAACATACAACGTGAATAAGTTCCCCAATTACCGCGAAACTTTTACCATTAATATGTCTCATTTTGTGTTAAAATGTTCTATGTTTGTCTCTAATGTGTCCCTTAAATGTTACCTGTTATGCGGGGTAATCAAAACAACTAACTTGATTTGTCTATTTTGGTTACCTTGTAGAGGCACCTGTAAGTAACATTTTGAGGGTCACTGGTCGGCTGAAGCCTTGTAATATTGTCGCATGCTTGCCAGTGGCACTGCAACTAACCTATGTCCAAGTACACATCTCTGGTAAGATATTAACAAAGTTTATGGGCCACTGTTTTGAATTTTCTAGCTGCACCCTGTTTCTATTATGTGCTTCTGCTCTGTTTCTGTAGCTGTAAATCCTTTCAAAATGAAGTTGCTGAATAGATTTAGTTTGTACAAGTAACTCCTATAGTAAGTCGCTAAATAAGTGAATCCTGCTTAGTAACACTGCCATAACTTCCTCTACAGATAAGCACTATAACAGACTTGTAGGTAAATAGACACAATCCACACTCATTGACAAAATTATATTTATAATTTCATCAGTATGTAGTTTTTATCTTTTCATGATAATATAGAGTCCATATTTACTATTGACATCATTATCGTTCATCATCACCATCATCTAGATGCCAGTTAGGTTGATTAGATTTAGTTCTCGATTTCATGAAAAAAATATTTTAAAGCCAAAAGTACATATTTGTATATTTTACAGGGCTCAGCTGATTCTAACTACTCTCAGCCTTCTTCGGATCTGTCGCTGGACGAGGAGAAAGAGACGTTGCGACGGGAGAAGGAACGTCAAGCGCTTAGTCAGCTGGAAAAAGCAAGAGTAAGAAAATTTTAAAATTGTATTCATTTCATTTCAAGATTGAGCAGCTATTTTAATATTAACAGAAAAATTTTACATTTATACAAGGATACAGTCAGATTTTAAATTCTGGCCGTCCGCCAGTCTCTTGGTAACACGAGAGCCTTGCAAAAAGCTGATCGATTCGTAGGAAATATTGTGCAAATAAACTGTCGTTGCAAAACTTGACATTAACCTTCTACATGAACTAGATAGTTTTTAGGATTTGTTTGAATATTTTTAAACGTGGTTGGATGCTGATCTAATGAGAGATTTGTGAAGATTTAGTGAGACATCTTTAGTATAGACAATTGTCAAACTTGCTTTGAAAGAAAAAAAATCATAAAACAGCAGGATCATTTTTTTGAAAGTCTGATTAATTCGTAAATTAGACAGTTGGTACATATAAAAAAAATACTATAAATGGCTGAACTATTTTGGTGATATTTTGTATATAAGTAGCCTAAAGTTGAAATTATTTTGGTGTATAATTTTTTTTTGATATTATGTACTTACTCTTTTGGAAAAAAGAGCCCTCGTATAAAGAAAAAGAAAAATGTTTTTGAAATGGAGTTTGGTTTTAGAGATTTTATTGTGTAAACTATAGTCACATTGAAGTTTTTTTTTCAGTTAATTGGTTGTTTTTGTGTAAGAATTAAAGAAAGACGATTTTTGGGTATTTAAACTTTAATGTGTTATCTAACACATACAGATAGTTATTTAGACCAAATGTTATTAAACAATACAAAATTTTTTATAAATATTAAAATTAACTTTAAAAAGTAGAAAAGCAGACCACAATGAGATTTAAAAATAGCGACAAAGTACACCTACGGAATTAAAATTTCGGGCAGTATTTCAAAAGTCACTTCAAAAAGTTCTTTTACTGTCATCATGACTGACATWTGACAATTAAACTTTTCTGTCGGTGACGCTATTTTTGAAAGTAAATAGGTGAAACAAATTGACATAAACATGACAAGAGTAGAAAATGAGGTTATTAATGTAAAGGTTGTTTTAGAGTTTACATTATGAAAATGACAATACTGCCCGAAATTTTAATTCCGCAACTGTACAAAACGGTTACTTTTTTTTAATACATTTCCTACAATGATTTTTGAATGCATTTTTTTAATGAAATGTCCATGCAGTACGTGGAAATCGAGCTGACAAGTCATTATTGTTTTTTTATACATTTATTGTGTACCAAAAGTTGATTGTTTTTTTTTTAAAGCGAAGCACCAAGAAAAAATTGAAATATTTTGTCAAAATTTAGCAAACATTTTGCTATCATGCTAAACACGTGTTATGTAAAGTTAGACTTCAATTTGATTAAAAATAATCGTATTATTGCTGTGGATATCGTAATGCTGGTAATTTATTTTCTTACTGTTCTTTGTTTTTAAATAAGTGTATTGATTGAAAATGTTTGTTAATTCTGAAGAACCACACACAGAGAAGAACTCACTATTCTTACTGTTTATGGCTAGCTAGCAAGAAACACTGTTTCAAATTCTGATAATTCGGCCTAGCTCAAAGATGTAATCTAGCGAAAATCTTGAATTCTTTACTTTAAAGACTTAAGACTTAAAAGACTTAAAACACTATCGTAAGTTTAAAACAGTTGTACCCAATATATTTTTTTAAAACGTACATTAAGAGAAAAATGACAAAAWTTCCGATATTCACAAGAATAAAAAGTTTGTATTTAAACAAACCGTATGGTAAATTTCTTCAATAATTTTTAATTTGTTCTTGGTGTTCCGCTTTTTTTTTAATAGTTATTCTATTTTAACCGTACAAATGTTATGATCTCAAAATAAATAGCGTTAATTTACATTATACCTATCCTTGCTAATTTCTTGACCACGTATTTTCACGTGCTAATAATTTTTTTAAATTAAAAATATTTCAGAATTTACGATGCTTATTATTTGGTAAATTAAAATTCAAAACAGCATTGTGAATACTTGTGTTTTTGACCCAATACAAAATATTTAATTTCGCTGACAAGTAACAATTAGTTTAGATTTTTGTAACGTTGTTTCCGGCGATCCAGAAATACGAGATGTRACCAAATAACAAAATAACTCAGTAGCTTATAAATTCTTTAACACATGTGATGGCCAGTAAAACCCACTCATCGTATTTCGCTTGTCTTCCAAGAAGATGAGCAAACAGGAATTTACTTAAAAGTTTATAAATATTGAATAAGTACTTTCAAAAAATGGAAGAACTTAAAAAAAAGTGTGGAATTTTTCCTTTTGTTCTGCGCTTTTGTTGAAACTTATTTCCAGTTCAACAGGACGACATTATTGACCGATAAATATTTGCCCGTGTCACTGATCAAAACCTCTGATCTATTTGTGGAGTAAAAGGTTTGTAACGAGATGAACAAAAATCGTATAAACAAAAACATCCTGTTAGTTGTTACTTTTAATGCATTAGCTGTTCGAAGTTGTAATGAAACGCTTTTAATAGAAACGTCTGTTTTACTGTCCGTAATTTGCMTTCCTATTGAATGTTTCACTCGTTTTTCATTTTTAGACGAAACCGGTAGCATTTGCTGTTAGAACCAACGTAGCATACGACGGTTCATTGGATGACGATTCACCAGTTCATGGATACGCAATTTCTTTTGAAGTTAGGGATTTTTTACACATTAAGGTAAGTCAATTTTGCCTGATTATTAGATTCTAATTAATGCAAACTACAGGAAAAATATGACAACAATTGGTGGATAGGTCGTTTGGTGAAGGAAGGGTGCGATATTGGGTTTATTCCTTCTCCGGTAAAGCTCGAGAATCTCAGATTGCAACAAGCACAGTCGAGGACTACAAAACTTTACTCAAGTAAAACAAGCTCCAGCTCTAATATAGGGGCCGCTGGTAACGATGTTTCCAGAGGTAGCACTCCTCCCACGCCTGGTATGTCCTATCCACACTCACTGCAGCGGGTTTTTAATGTTTTAGTAACGTGTTTTCGGTGTTTTTTTTATTATGTCAATTTATGTTTAATGTAACGGTAATTTATTCGACACCAAACACCTCTGAGGAATTTTAAAACAAATTTTTTAATATAATTTTAATGTTGTTTTTTCTTGTGGCACGTTCTCTTTTTAAACATTTGATTTTTTGCAGCGTTCAAACTTCGTTGTAACTACTGTCTGACTTTCTGAATCCAATCTAAATCTATCCTTTCATACAATTCCGTCGTCTCCATCACCTCTCAACTACTATAGAAAGTATCAGTAGAATATAGAATGTAGATAGATGTTAGTGTAGGAATTGTCGATTTTTTTTGATATAAATATTTGATAAAAAAATGAGACAGAGATTATGGTTTTAGGAGACGAGTCTGATTCAGTTGGTAACGCTCGATCTGGCAAGCCTCTCACAACACCTCCAGCAAAAGAGAAGAAAAAACCATTTTTTAAGAAGCAGGAAGCAACTGCTCCTTACGACGTAGTTCCCTCCATGAGGCCAGTAGTTCTAGTAGGTCCTTCATTGAAAGGATATGAAGTTACAGATATGATGCAAAAAGCCTTATTTGATTTTTTAAAACATAGATTTGAAGGAAGGTTAGTATTTCATATTGTTTAGAATCAAAAATTTACTTTCCTGATTACAGAATAATTATCACGAGAGTAATGGCAGATATATCTTTGGCAAAACGTTCACTTTTAAATAATCCTTCAAAGCGGGCGATAATGGAACGTTCCACAACTCGCTCAACTTGTTTGTCAGAGGTCCAAGCAGAAATCGAAAGAATATTCGAGCTAGCTACAACTTTACAACTTGTGGTGCTGGATTGTGATACTATAAACCATCCTTCGCAACTTGCCAAAACTTCATTAGCTCCATGTATTGTCTATCTTAAAATAACTAGTCCTAAGGTAAAACTACGTACGGAGAAATATATTAAGCTGGTTATTTTTTGCTTTTTGGTAGGTTTTGCAAAGGCTAATCAAATCTAGAGGTAAAAGTCAAGCGAGACATCTAAATGTACAAATGGTTGCTTCAGAAAAATTAGCTCAATGTCCTCCGGAAATGTTCGATGTGATCTTGGACGAGAACCAACTGGAGGAYGCGTGTGAACACATAGCTGAATATTTAGAGGTACAATTGTGTATTTTGGTGTTAAGGGTGCAAGCATTGTGTTGCAGGCATATTGGAGAGCGACTCATCCTGAAGTAACCGTTTCCAATGTTCCTCGACCTATAGGTAGTTCACCGCAAGCTTCTCCGAGTGGGGACCAAGGAAGGCCCACACTACCAGGTACAAATTTCATCCGATTCTTCATACATTCTAAAAAATCAAATCAGCTCTCCTAAGTGCCACACTTCAGACTGAATTATAGTTCGAGTCGATTGTTTGGTGCTTTTCACCTAATTTCTAACAACCATCGATAAAGTGGTTCACTAACAGCTAACAACTTTCTTACAGCACACCATGATGTATACGGATACTCTCATGATTCTAGAGGTAGTCACGCAGGTGTTAGATACATAGGGTTGCAAAGTTGGGACTCAGTAGACTCTCTAGAATCACTTTCTTTCTTATAAACCACTGCATGATTGTCTTGAATTATGCATCAGTTGTTGTTTCTTATTATTGTATTTGCATAACTTAGCTTAGTTGCATTTCAACTTCCATAATGTGATAAATTGTCAGAGAATCATGTCATACAATTTTAATTTCGCTAAATGATAAGTTGTGTAACTCGTGGGTCCAGTATAAGAAATGTGATCAAATAAATTCTTGTTAAATAAGAGTTTCTTTACCTTTATTTTTAACTATTTTTCAGATTTTTCCGGGTCAATGACACCGATTTCGACTAATTATGTAGAATAATATAGAAATGCAAACTTTTCAAGCAGGTTCAGTTGTCTTTGCACGGTTTTTAATATTTTTTTCTTTTTTTTTCGATCGCTTCGCTACATTCTACTTAACTGCTACGCTTTTGCTAAAATTGCACTAAATAACATCAGGCGAAGTTACACCAAGTCCTGGTAAAATTTGGCGCGCTGGCTCCACTGACTTATTTGCTTAGCAGTTTTTGTAAGTATGTTGAAGGTTGAGTAGTTTTAGATTTCACCGATTTTGGGTTTGTCTAACCAAAACAAAAAGTTTGGTTTGTTTTGGAGGATTGAAGGTTTGCAAGTTTTGAGTGTTGCCTGTGACTGACCATTTYTTAGCTAGATTTTATAACTGATGTTGGTTCTTATGTGGCAGTTCCCACATTTCATACATCCCACACGAGAAGTAGACCGAGGTTAGAGAGAGAGCGTGAGTATGAGGATTACGCCGAACGGGAGAGTTACACCCATGCAAACACTCATGGAGTACCCCATCATGGAGGTGACGATTATCGGGATAGAAATTTGGATCGGATACCTTCGAGAGACCACAGGGCAACTCGAGAGGAAGAATATCCGACACATAGGGGATCTTCAAGGAGAGCTTTGAATGCCATATAGTGGAGGCTTTCTACGGAACAGCCAATTGAAGAGGAAATGCATGATGACCTTTCTCCTAGAGCGGAAACGTATTACAAACCTCAGATTCCTAAAGAATACAGAGACGAGAGGCTGGAGCGTCGTCACGACGAATCCCGATTGGAAGATAGAAGAAGGGTGGATGAAGATCGAAGGTACGGTGAGAGGAGTAGGTATCCTGAAGATCACAGATACGAAGATCGGAGATACGTCGACGACAGGAAGGCACTTGCGAAGAGTAAACAAGAGGGAAGGAATTATAGGAAGGAATTATTGGAGAGGTTTGCTGATATGGATTTCGAAGARCATCATGACTTCCGAACACGTCAAAGATACTACGAATAAACAATCTTAGATAAATAAAGATTTTGGCCTAAATTACTGAAATTGTGTACAAATGAATTCAAAGTATCTTTGATGCATTCTTCAATGGGATGTTCCGTAATTGTGATTAATTCTTACTATAAACATTAAAAATTTTGACCAGTTTGGTGCCATATTTGAGTAATAGCTCAATTTTTAATCAATCTATTATTGACATAGAATATTCAAGCTTTAAACTGTAGCTATACTTAGGATTTTTAAATTTATTTATAAGGAATGGTATATTGTTGAAAGCAGTATAAATTTATGTATTTTATATATTGTAAAATAGCTTAAAAAAGAACTGAGATATTATACTTTTAACGGAAAGTGAACTCTGTATTGGGTTATCATTTCGTTGCTTTTTATTTCATAGTTTCATGATACCTACGTGATATTAACGTCAAGTATTTGACTGAATCTAGGAAATCTAGTCAAGTTGAAGTTTGTGCACTGCTGTTAGAAATGTTATGAGAAGTAGATAAAAATGCATGAGGCATCGAGGCTTTTGAAGAATAGTTACGAATTCATGATAAACCGTATAAGATATCGTAATATTTTTTAAATACATTACTAGACTATTTTCAGTGTTTTACCACCTACCCGACTTGGTTCTCTTACAAATAATATTGATGACAATCAAAGTGTGTTTTCTAATTTAGCGTTAGTTTAGATCAATTTGACACCATACCTATTCTAAGACGAGTTTAGTTAGAATCYGATTAGTTAGACAATTCCGACGATGTGCAAAATTTTTCGTTAAGTGTAGGTGATAAAACAACGGAAAATAAATAGGCTTTACAAACTGTACATTTCGAAACTGCATGTGCCACTATAGTGGTAAATATCACTGACCAATTTCACTACACAAACAAAATATTTGTATAGGAGTAGATCTGTGAATCCTTTTAGGTTTTGCACTTGGCCCTAACAAAGTTACAAACCAAAAWATTATTATTTAGTTAGTGTGTTGAACGAGTTAGAGCAATTTATTGTGACTTTGTTAGCTGCAGTTTCTTTTTATTAGTGTACTTAGAACCCCGGTTTTCTTTCAAATATTTTATTGTAATTAGAGTTAAATACTTATAACAAGGTTTCATATGCTGTTGATATTGAATGAGTCTATTGATATTTCAAAATATAAGTAATTAATATTTAAATAAAAAGCTAAAATTTGATACATTGTAAATAGCTATTAAATATTGAAAAAATCTATGCTACTAATAAATTGTTTTTTTTTTTAATTTGTATCGAATAGCTAGACATATGTTAATTTTGTTTTGTTATTTGTGTAAATCAATCTTGTATATAATTTTAGTTGAATACGTTTTTAACTAAATGCCTTGCTGTTATTTATGATTTCTTTTTATATAAGTATCAATTCAAATCATATGAATGTAAGGATATGGTGAAAGGCACTATTGATGTGCATTTTTTCTAAATAAAATACATATATTAAAACGAGAAGTAATAAATTTATTTTGTTTAGCAAATTGAACATTCTGTTTAAAAAGAAATAGAAATGTTCATTTACAAAATTTTAAATTTTGTTAAAAATGCATCATTTGAAGTTACACATTGTTTTAAACAACCATATTAAAATAGATTCGCCTACATTATATTTGTACAAAGATTTCTATTAAAAAAAGACATTATTTACACATCGTTCTAAAATACTTATATTATATTCAAATAAAGAATATAAGATTTTCTGCTACTTTGATAACCTAGGTTTCACTCTTGGGTGAGTCTTTCTGACTCATAGTGGTAGACATCGATGCTTCAACATTCTCATCTCTTTCCTCTTCTTCATCAATGATGCTAATATCTCTAATAGATGGCCGATGACTCCTTCGCCACCCTTCAGGTACTTCAGGAAATTTAGTCTTGGTAAGCAATCGAGGCCCACCCAAGGTGATCAAAATCGCTCCAGTCGGCGCTGTGAGAATTATAGACATGACACAGACCATTAACATTTTTTCAGCATAATCGTGCTCCTCCGTATTTTCTTTCACTACACCTAATGTCAACGGACCCAAAGCGGCCTTCAAAATTCTAGTCAGAAAAATTGATATTTAAAGTAATTAAGCTCACCTGAACTGTAGCTTTCGACATCCAAGCTAATGCAACAAAGATTTTCTCTTTTAAGTTTAGTTTACAACCTATCCCTAGTAAGACTGTAGCGATAATTCTAATTATGACTCCAGCAATTAATATGGCGACTCCAATCGAGACAATGTGGCCGTCAAGTTCATCAAGTTTGATTTGAGCTCCGGTGATGCTGAAAAGGACTGGTTCGAAGATCATCCAAAAGATTTCGAACGCGGTTGCAGCAGGATTATCCTCAATTTCCCACCCTTGTCTTGACCAACAGTAAAGTGAAACAAAGGCTGCAGCGACACACCCCAAGGGTCCTGCTCCCCCATAACCGATTAGTTCGCTTCCAAAGACTGAAATCATTCCGCCGACTAATAACAGGAGGATTCTTAGAGGAACCATAAAGGGGTCRTGCCTCTCCGGAGCATAATTGCAGATGATACCCCATAGCAAGCCAAATCCCAACCCACCAAGAACGGAAATCGGTCCTTGGAGGATTTGAAAAGTGAGAGAATCATTTGAAAACATAATACTTTTAACAATGCCGAAAATAGCAACGGAAGTGGCATCGTCAATTCCTGCGACGGCTATAATAAGAGTTGGAATTCCCTTCGCAACACCGTAGCCTTTTGATCGTAGTCTGAAGAGACAAGGGACTACCACAGCTGGAGATACTGCTGCTACTATGGTTCCGAGTAGAAGAGCAAAATCCCATGGTAAGTCGAGGAAATATCGGCAGAGAACTGCAGCAATTCCGGCTTCAACAGCCCACGGACCTAGACCCAATTTGATGACACTAAATTTTAGCCGTTTTAAAGCATGCGGGTCTAAGTCAAGTCCAGCTCTGATTAGGATAATTACAAGGGCAACGTGTCTGGAAAAAAAAGTTAGTCTAGGGTTAAACAACTCAATTAAAAATTACCGTAACTCTTTAGTGATGTGAGCAAATGAGTCATCAATGTTTACGATGCCCAAGTTTTGAAAGAGTAAACCTATGAAAAGCATGCCGATCAAAGCCGGTAGCGTAGTTAGACTCATCAGCCAACCCGCGAAATGGGCACAAATGCTTAGAAGAATTAGTTGGAATAGATGTCCACCTGGTGCAGCGGTAGCTCCGACGATGGCGTAGAGAATGCACCAGGACAAAGTACCGATAAGTGCAAGAGCTATCATTCTGGAAAACTGGCGGTACGTGGGACAGAAAGGATAAGGACAGATTCGGGGCCAAAGGGGTGGTTGCCACGACGGGTGGGTCTCTTCTTGTCGACATTTTAGACAGAATAAATACCACCAGGACCTAGAAATAATTTAATTGTTGTAGTGGAAATAATAAATATAGTTTTGGTGACATTATTTTGAAATCAAGAAGAATAGGACTACTAACCTATCATCATTCTCCTCCTCGCCCGTTTCCGAAAATCGCGTTTTTGAGTGGACCGATTCTGTGACAGAATTTTTTTTGGATCTTAGATCCCCATTAACTTGTTTACCACTATCTGTAAATATAACTTCTTTTTCAAACATTCTCACAAGAATAACGTGGTATTGTTTCTTCACGTGCACATTTGTTTACCTCGACTGGAGGTAAAAAAGTCGCCACAAACTGAGAATATCGACAGGTTGGTACTTTTTGCACATGTCAAGGAATTCGCAAAAAAACTAATTGTCGTGAGTTCGAACATTAGCATTGTTTGAAATATGACTTAACGAACCAATTAGGCAATATTGTAAATAAGCTTACTCTTGGTAGCGTAACTAGGAAAGCGTAAACAATGTAAAAACAAATATGTGAATGATATTTGTGTATAATAAATAAATAATAAATAAATAAACCCGATTTTGTCAAAGTGAAGACACTTCGAAATTGGGTTTGAATCATTTTTATACTCCATTTAAGTACACACAGAAAAGTTGAAAATGACGTGTACAGGTGAATAGAGAGAAAGCACACTTAGAGCTTAGTTAATTTATGATATACACCAATAAAAACAGACTACATGCATGATCAAACTAGTTTTATCTTCTTTTATGTGAACAGTTTTTACCAATTTTTCATTTTTGAACATCTGTAGGTGTGATCAATCAATAAAGAGAAAAAATTAAAATTTCTAATGTAATCCAAGAATAATTGTCCGAAGAGTTTACGTAAATAAGAAAAATTATTACATACCTACTTATGTACATAATTATGGTAAAATGATTTGAAAGTAAGACACATTAAAAAAATATGACATCGTTAACTTTACTTTAGGTGATTATTAATTAGTAGGTCATTTTTGTGGGTCATTATCAGTACGCGTATATACTTATCCTCTTTTTGGATAAGGTATAATACGAGGGACATGCGTTTATTATCAAACAAAAACAATACCACGTGTAACAGAAATAACTACATTAATTTAAACCACTTGCAGAACTCTCCAAAAACAACTTTTTTTTCAGCAATTGTAGACTTTCCAAAACACCAAACTTTTAATTTTTATAAATACTTAAAAGTGTGGTATTTTATGGGTAGACGAGTTTTGAACCGTGTTTTTGTGAGTTTTTTTGCAAGTGCTTTTTACGAGTTTTTGTTAAAATAATTATTCGAGTACACTATTATTGCTCATAAACTTAATTATAAAATTATTTTTATTCTTGAAATAATAATTATTATTATTAGTAGCCAACAAAATTTTACAAAATTTCTATTCAATTTTACAATGTGGTTGTTTACAAATAACATTTAAAAGATTAATTATATTAATTATCTTTGTTTTAAAAAGAAAACAAATCAACTTCATTTTACATGTATTTTTGTTTAGTGGCCTTATCGGTGACGTGTGGGCTTTTGTTCTGCTACCATAGGCGGATACGAGATCTTGAAGGAAGACGTTTTCTGATTTTAACTAATGGTAGTGATAAAACAATATTGCAAATGACAAATGCATTTAATTATTTTTTTGGTGATTTCACTACAGTATAAAGTGCAATAGAAATAAATTTTTACCCCAAGCTGAAACCACATAACAGCAAAACGAATTTTTTCTCTTCATTTCTTCTTTGTCCTGATCTTCTAAGGAATTGCAGATCAGAAAACAATATTTTATTAGAAAATAATACGTTTTTGCCACTTATAAATTATATATACAAAGAGAACTTAATTTATTTAAAAATTTTGCTCATATTAAATATTGAGTAGCGAATGTTAAAATTTATTGTATTGACGCGATATTTACTTCAACAATAGTCTTTTACTTTTTGTTACAGTGTARATATGTCTCAAGAAACAAAACATTGTTGTAGGTCGTGTAAGTAGCTTATTATGTTACCATAATGTCCCGACAGGCTAAGATTTTCCACTGGGTGTGCATTATGCAGAATACTTTTTTTCCGCACCGGTCCAATTTCCGCATGCTCGGAGTTACCGGACACCTTTCGACTTCTCGGAGATTCAAACCCTAAGTTGTCGTGTCCATGAAGACTTTCGATTATACTAACTCTGCGACTCTGTAAAGGAACTTCTAAATGGGAAGTCGGTGATGGTTCGGATGAAACAATCGGATCTTGGTCCACTGACATGTCTGCAATAAAACATTAAGTATTATTGCCATTTATTTCTCTAGAAACTCTTCATTAATAATACATAGTGACTTCCTAAGATAGCGTCAATGTCATTTCTCTTGAACTGTTAGTTTAATCGAGGGAAAGTACATATTATGTTATTGTAATGCACGTTGTGATTCATGAGGACTTTAAGACACGTAGAGTGCATAGAAAGGATGTCCGTTAGCACCATTTATGGGTGCAAGAAAGTGCTCATTTCGCTTCATGAATCACATAATATGTACAGGTGTGATTCTTAAAGTCGGGCAAAAACGCAAACATTGTCTTCCATATGTATTTCATTTCAAGGATCAGCAGACTATTGTCTACATACCACAAAATTTTGTAATTACTATTATTTTTCATTTCTCACGCAATAATAATGAATCATTGTGGCAGTGATGTTTAGCATACGTAGGCAAAAAAAATATTTACGAGCCACCACTTCCGTAAAATTGATGATTTGTACGTTGTACGTATTACCGAGCACAGCTCTATTCTTAATCAATATTTGTTATTTAAGTTTACTATTGACGTGAAAAGTTTCAAAGCTTTAGCAGAGCACACTAAATCATACAAAAATGTTTTTGAGCACAATAAATATTATATGAGACAACCTTTGAATGAGTTTCTGTTAAGAAGTTATCTAATTATGAAAAATGTGACTTAGGAACAACTTTATTCTCAAAATTAAATGAGTGTAAAAGGACTAGAAATTAAATTATACACATAAAACATGAAATAAGGTAACTTAGCCAAACAAAGCCCACTTAATTTTTATGATTTTTTATATTTTTTTTGAAATATGCAAAGGTTTGGATTTATTATCGAAATTGTAATTTGAATTTTTGTTTAACAATGTGGTACCATAAAAACGCCTGTTTTGTTAATTTTTCTACATGTTTTTAACATAAATATAAAATATTACAAAGGGCCTTTTTTGGAACCTCCTAGCCCCAAATAAGGGCCACCATCGACATTAGATAGGCCCATATTTAAAATTTGAGATAGGATTTTTCATTAATCGTATTCACAGTAAGTTAAGGAAAAAATCTTTAATAAACAAACAAAAACAACATAAAAAATACAAAAAATGTAAAGAAACTTCAAAACATATATTAATATGTAATTAGAAACATTTAATTTTAACATCCAACACGATGACGCATCAGTTTAGAACATATTTCAACTAAAAGACACATCTAGGAGTAACTTGTATGATTGATGATAGATGGCTGGAGGTCCAACGTAGGCTAGATGGTTTTAATTTTCTTCACAATTTAGACGAAAAATTAACGGTGGGCCTTTTTAAGCACCGGGCGGGCCTTATTTGGCTTAGGTACCTTACATAATTCCTTGCTTACTGAAAAAAAAACTTTTAATTCAGCAAAAAATATTAATTGAACTTTTACTTAACAAATGCCAGTCAATACTTATAAAATTGGTATTAATTGTTCAAAATTACAAGTTTGTAAAAGGTAAATTAACTAATGAAAATTTTAAAATAAGGGTATTTTATTTAGAAAAGGAAAAAAATA